AACAGGATGTGCTGGATGCCAGAATTTGACATGAGTTGAATAAGAGATTAGACAAATTCATGAAGAAAAAAAAAAATCCACTAAGACATCACCTCTGGCTTAACAAGCCTCTAGGCCACAAATTGCTGGAGGCTGGATAAGTAACATGGGAAACTATCCTCATGTGCTTATCTTATTCTTGCACTTTCCCTTCCTCGCCACTATTAGAGAGAGAGACAGACAGATTGAGAGACAGACAGACAGATAGACTGAAAAAGAGAGGGGGGGGGCAGGGAGGGGATACCATTCAGATGAATCTTTAGTTTGACCTAATAGCTACTTCAGTATAAACATAAAAAAAGCAGAGATTAGCCTGCACCTCTCATCCAAATGCTTCCCCCGTTCTCACAAGGGTTTTGCAGCCCATGATGTACTTCCAAAGCCACACAGCTAGTAGTGCAAAGGTATATAATATAAAGCTAGTTCAGATACGTGTCCACACAAGCTGCAGTCACACACTGGAGCATAGTACAGCCAGATCTACACGGGTGAGAAAGTGCCCTGCCTGCTTTCCTGGTGCTCCTTCCAGCCATGAAAAGGGAATAGAAGTGAATTTAGTCGCCCAAAGGCTGAAAATTCTTGTGAATATTGAGTAGGGGAGTTACTATTTGGAGCAGATCAAGTAATACTAACATCTCAGTGTTCCCTTCTGCCTATCCCTTGGAGGTCCTGGTGCAGAGATTCGAATGGAGACAAGAAGAGAAGTTGTTGAAACATAATGCATCATGACTAAATCAGCTGAACTCACACTTGGTCCGTCACAAGGGCTCCCTAGGTGTACTTAATCTAGTGGTTTTTGACACTTGACCCATTAAACCCTAGTTTTTGTGAAAGCTAACAAAGAAAAAGTCCATTACCAGCAGACTTCTGCTTGCTCTACAGTAATCTGTGCTTTCATTAAAAAATTGTTAGTAGTTTGCTTGACAAAAAAACCCAACAAAACAAAATCAAAGCTAGCAACCAGTAGTTTAACTTAGAGTGGATCAAGAATGATCAGCTCCCGAATCACATTCTTCCCAGCCACCATTCACCATCTCTTCTGCTCCTCAGCAAATCAAAAACATGACCCTATATCCTAACTCTTGATGAATAAACAGAGCATCTAATCATCAATACATTTCTTGCCACTAATCAAAGCGTACATTTCCTGGAGAATATTATGCCTTCAAGTCCTGGCATCTATGCCTCTATATACGCATCAGAAAATTACAGCTGCCAAAAAGTTTACTTGTGGAAAAAATAATGTGCATACTTCATCCATGTGCTAGTCTGACAGATCATAAGATTATTCTAAAATGACATTAGTGGATAACAAAATTAAAAAAAAAAAAACACAAAATAAAAAAGCATACCGGCACTTAATGCGTCTTTTCAAACATATGCCATAAATCAAAGAGGAGGAATAATTTGTTACAGTACTGTTTGCCACAATGCTTTGCTTTGCAT